GCAAACATTTCAGAAGCTTTTACAGCACCAGCTCTTCCATGTCTTGGTTGACAAGGACTCCATTCTTCCAGCTGCTCAGGCCAAACCTTGCCACGTTACTTTGATTCACAGGCCACTTCCAAACAGTAAACCCTGTTTTTTTCACTGACATAAGACACATCTGGTTCTCACCATCTCCAATACAGTTGTCAAGACATGAGTCTCATCATTTTGACTTCCTAACTGGCCCTCTCCCATCTTCACCTACCCTCTGGTGAATTCTCTCCATGAGGCCTATATGACTTAAACTGAAGTCAGAGCATGTCATTCTTTCCATTAACCCCTGTACCCCCAGGGCCTTCCAGGGTACTCTGAGGGAAAGCCAAGCCTCACAGCCTCTGGTGACCTGCCCGGGCCATTCCCTCTGACTTCACTTCCCACCAATGTCTTCTTGGCTAACCCTCCGGCCACACCTGCATCCTGGCTGTCTTCCCAAATAGTCTCCTGTTTATTCATCTTTCCTTCATGCTTCACCTTTGGGTGACATATTCCTCAAATGACATCTATACAGTGCAAAATAATTGCCCCTGAAACCCACTGCACTGCACTCCCAGTGTGATGGGTGTCTTCGTGTGTATACTTCTTCCTTAGTGTATGTTGAGACAATACATCTTTTTGGTGATGGTCAGTCAGGTTCAGCCACACGAAGTAACACATATCAAGTTCAGAAAATAGATTTACTATTCTCAGGCTCAGCACACTCCCTGGGGCCTGTGGGTGGTCAGGTGGCAGAAGATGGGAGCCTGGAAAAGCCTTAGGGAACCACACTTTAAGGGCATTCCTATGAGGAAAGGCAGGCTGACTAGCAGGGTGAAGAGTTCAAGACTGACTAGTCTGCTTAATTCATCAAGCTCTAAGTTGCTGGATTGTACCTTGCTGATCTGGTGTCTGACACTGGATGATTATACATTCTGTCTTTTGGGGTGCTCGGGGCCAAATGAGGAGGTGTGGCTCTAGGTTAGCTGATTTTCATATCAAAAGGCCTGCACAGGCTGGACCTTGTGCTATGTTCCAGGCTGGGGAGGCTTTTTAAAATGCCAAACACCATGATGCCCACAACAGTTTTAAATATTTACAGTGTCTGTATTTTCTACCAAAACATAAATGCCACAACAAGAAGAGTGTTGTCTCTTTCCACTGCTCTTGATGTGGTATCTAGAATGGAGCCAGAGAAACAAAGGGTGTTGAACAATCATTTGACAGGTGAATGACAGAATGAACTTTAAACTCCCCACCCTCTGATCCCAGGATTACTGCTGAGCCACTATTTCACTTTCCTCAGCAATAAAGAGGGGAGTGAGGTCTGGTGATTTTATCCGAAAAGAGAGAGTTGTTTTGTTTTTTCCTTTCCTTTTTATTATATTTCTTGAGACAGTGTTTCACTGTATAGCTCAGGCTGGCCTGGAACTTGCTATGTAGACCAGGCTGGCCTCAAGCTCACAAAGATTCACCTGCCTCAGCCCCCTGAGTGCTAGCATTAAAGGTATGGGCCAACACACCTGGCTGGGATTTTGTTTGTTTGTTTTCTTTTTAACACTGTTGCTAGGAATATTTTAAACTAAAAAAAAAAAAGTTTATTGTAATCCCAGTTTTAACCCCACCCCATATTGACTGACTCATTTAGTGAGAACAAGTTCACATATAGTAGAGAATTTAAGTGGAGGAATTGTGTCAAAGAAAGGAAGATGAAATGTTTTATCATTTATTTAAATATGAGTCACTAATCAAATTTGGTTTTGTTAGCTTTTTTAATTGAAAACAGTTTTTTTTATACAATATATTCTGATTACAGTTTTCCCTTCCCCTACTCCTCCCAATCTCCCCTTCTATCAGGACCCACACCTTTTCTGTCTCTACTTAGAAAACAAACAGACATCTAAGGAATATAAATAAAATAAGAAGATAAATAAAAAACAAACAAATCAAATCAGAATATGATAAAACAACCAAAAAAGAAAAAAGAGCCAAAGAAAAAGCACAAGAAATGCATATAGAATATAGATGCAGAGACATACACATTCACACACTCAGGTTTCCCATAAAAACCCCAAAGCAGAAGCCATACTATGTACTCAAAGGAACCATATGATGGAAAGCAAAACAAAACGAACAAACAAAACCCACCTTGACTTAACACTGTGAGACAAAGAACCGCCAAAGATACCATTGAACTCATTTTGTGCTGGCCCTCTAGTACTGAGAATGGGGCCTACCCTTAACAGTGACCCTTAACAGTGGTTTGTTTTCCCCTGTAAGACTCCCTTGAAGAAAAGTAATTTTCATTTGCAAGTGATTATCAATTAGAGATGGCTTCTCAGGGGTGGAGTGTGTATGTGTCCACTTTTCCTTTCAGCTGTAGAACCCTATTTAGTGCAGACCCCTGTAGGCCCTGTGCATGGTGCCACTGTCTCTGTAAGTTTGTATGTGCATCAGTCTTGTTGTGTGTAGAAGGCCTTGTTGATTCCTTTTTGTTCTCCATTCCCATTGGATCTTACATTCCTTCTGCCTCCTCTTCCAGCAGATTTCCCTGAGCTTTGAGGGGAGGGATTTGATGGAGACATCCCTTTTAGGGCTGAGTGTTACAAGGTCTCTCACTCTCTGCATATTATCTGGCTGTGGGTCTCTGTATTTGTTCCCATATGCTACAGGAGGAAGCTTCTCTGATGGTGGCTAGGCAAGGCACAGGTCTATGAGTATAGCAAAACGTCATTAGGAGTCAGTTTATTGCTATGTTCCTTTACCAGACAGTAGTATCTGGTTTACCCATAGGTCCGTAAGCCATCTAGTTTCAGGTTTTTTGGTCACCCAAGCAGTGTTAGATCCATTCTCATGGAGTGGGCTTTAACTCAAATAAGATATTGGATTGTTATTCCCACAAGCTTTGTTGCCACTATTGTGCCAACATATCTTGTAGGCAGGTCATTCTTGTGGATTGAAAGGATTGTAGCTGGGTTGAAGTTTCTCCTTTGGTAGTGTGCAGGGTACATTCTAGTACCATGAATACTAGTCCACAAGGGTGAAAGCTTTAGGTAGACACCAGCTAGATCTCTCTGTGTTCACTAAGTCAGGTAGGTGTTGTCGAACAATAAGACTTTCCCATCAGTTTGTGAAGAGCCACCAATAGCCTTGACAATAGCCTTGGTTGTTAGAGGATTCCCCATGGGACTCCTTTGACTGAGAACTCAAGTAGATGTAACCCATTCCTGGTAGTAGAAGCTTCATTTGGTGACAAGAGATGTCCAGTTGGGGCTCTGTCTCCTCTGTTATTTGGTGATTTCATTCAGATTACCTTCATATATGTATATAGTATATGAAGCTTCTAGTGTATTAGGTTCCTTTAAACAGTCCTTAGTTTTAGCTGCCTTTCCCTGTATTACCTTTCTCACCCCCTCTTCCCCCCCTTCTCTGCTTGATCCTTCCATTTCAGTCCCCCTCCTCATCCAAGCACAACTATCTATTCTATGTTGCTTTGCTAAGGAGATCCATCCCCGCCCCCTAGTCCCTTACTGTCTACCTAAACTCTGTAGTTATATGGATTGTAGCTTGCTTATCAATGACTATACAACTAGAATCTATATATGAATGTGAGTACATACCATTTGTATTTATGCGTCTGAGTTACCTCATTTAGAATGATTTTTTTCTAGTTCCATCCATCACCTGTGAATTTCATGATTTCATTTTTTAATGACTGAGTTATAGTCCATTGTATAAGTATGCCACATTTTCTTTATTCATCTATTGATTGATATCTATATGTTTCCAACTTCTGGCTATTATTAATAGAGCAGCAAAAAGCATGGTTAAGCAAGTGTCTCTGTGGTAGGATAAAACATCTTTTGTGTATATGCCCAAGAGTGGTATAGCTGAATCTTGAGGTAGATCAATTCCCAAGGAACCACCACACTGATTTCCATAGTGTTTGTACAAGTTTACACTACCACCAGCACTCATCAAATTTCTTATGGACTATAACTCAGTCATTAAAAAATGAAATCATGAAATTCACAGGTGATGGATGGAACTAGAAAAAAAATCATTTCTTAAACCTTTCCTCATCATTTCTTGAGCAGAGAAGACGCACAGAAATGTGCAGAAACTTTAAGTAAACTATTGATTATTATTATTACTAAGTAAACACAGCTATGTGTGCATTACCAGGTCAAGAAGTAAAACATTGCCAGCAACCACAGCTCTCTTGCTTTCCTTCCATGCTTCTGCTTCCTCCTTCCTCTTAAAGGGGCCACCACTGTGCAATGGAACACCATAGATCAGTTTTGCTGGGCTTTGAACTTTACATGCATAGAATCAAATTGTCGTAGTTGGGGTTTCTATTGCTGCAACAAAACACCACGACCAAAAAGCAAGTTGGGAAGGAAAGGGTTTATTCAGCTTACACTTCCACGTTGCTGTTCATTACCACAGGCAATAAACACAGGGCAGGATCCTGCAGGCAGAAGCTGATACAGAAGTCATGGAAGGGTGCTGCTTCACATGGCTTTCTCAGCCTGTTTTCTTTTAAAAGCCAGGATTACCAGGGATGGTACCACCCACCATGGGCTGGACCTTCCCCCATTGACCACTAATTGAGAAAATGCCTTACAGCTGGATCTCATGGAGGCATTTCCCTCACTGAGGCCCTTTCCTCTCTGATGACTCGAGCTTTTGTCAAATTGACACACAAAACCAGCCAGTACATAGATCAAGATGTACTTTTTTGGTAATTGGCTTCATTCACTTGGCATTATATTTGAGAGAATCACCAATGTCATGTATAATAGTGGTTAATTTTTTTCCATGGAGTGGAGCATTCCATTCTATGAGCAAACAACCATTTATAACTGTGCCACTCTTGAGGGCCAGCTGAACTGTTTTTATCTGGGATTGCCACAAATGAACAGTGCTGCAATGGGTATATTTTGTGTTTGTCTTCAATGAACTCACGTCCTCATTTCTACCAGGAATGGACTTTGTACAAACTCTGTTTTAGTAGATGTGGCAGTCATCTCTCCTCCCCCATGGTTGCTCCATTTTCATCCCCATCAGCAGTGTCTATGGAAGAGTTCCAGCTTCCACAAGCTCACCAACACCAGGTATGGCCTGACATTATCCATTCTTATTCTTAAGAGAACTAAGCTGAACCTCATTCTGCTCTCCATTTGTGTCCCTGATGACTGACAGAATTTATATGTTCACTGATCATTTGTGCTGGTTAGTTTTTGTCAAGGGAAGAAGGAACCTTAATTGAGAAGATGCCTCCATCAGAGTAGCTTGTAGGCAAGTCTGTGGGGATGTCTCCTTGACCTATGATTGATGTGAGAGGGCCCAGCCCCCTAGGCAGTTGGTCCTGGGTATATAAGAAAACAGAGTGAGGAAAACATATCAAGCTGCTATGTGGATTTTCTATGGCCTCTGCTTCAGTTTCTGCCTCTAGGTTCCTGCCTATGTATGATGGACAGTAGCTGTAAGCTGAAATAACCCTTTCCTCCACCACCCTGCTTTTGGTGGTGGTTTATCACAGAAATACTAAAATTCCACCCTACCATCACGAGGAACTTGCCTGTTCAGGATTGTGCTTGTGTTTTTTCATTTGGGCTCCCTGTTTTTACTTGTATAATTCTTTATGTCTCCAGAATAGGCCCCTTTACTGTTACATGTGATATGAATCTATTTCTCACTTTGTGCATTACTGACTTTTCTCACAGCTGTGACAAAATACCAGACAAAAGCAACTTCAGGGAAAGAGTATTTGTTTTGGCTCATGGTTAAGCAGTGCAATCCTCGTGGCAAGGAAGGTGTGGCCACAGGAGCTTGGAATGTCTGGTCACCTTGAGGGCAGCGGAGAAGCAGAGGATGAATGCTGGTGTTCAGTTCACTTTCTTCTTTTCATTCAAGCTAGAACTCCAGTCTCTGGACCGGCACTGCCCTCATCCAGGATAGCACTTCTCACCTCACCTCAGTTAAGCCTTTCAGGAAACACCATCATGGACACACTGCAGAGGTTGACAATGCGCTGTATCTGTTCTTTTTGCTTAACTTGAATCTTTGTTGTTGTTGTTTTGTGTGTGTGTGTGTGTGTGTGTGTTTTCAAGACAGGATTTCTCTGTGGCTTTGGAGGCTGTCCTGGAACTAGGTCTTGTAGACCAGGCTGGTCTCGGACTCATAGAGATCCTCCTGCCTCTGCCTCCCGAGTGCTGGGATTAAAGGCGTGCACCACCACCACCCGGCAACCTGAATCTTTTGATGAACTAAAAGTTTTAATTTTGATGAAATTGAACTTACAAACATTCTTTAGCAGATTTTTGTGTCTGATTTGCAGTCTTTGTCTATCTAAAGGGCAAGAACTCTCTTCGTAGTTTCCCTCCCATACCCATACAGCACATGTACCCACTTTCTTGCCTCCTTTCCCCTTGCTGCTTCCCTTTTCTTTTCATTTCTTCCTCCTTTTAAGAGGCTATGGCACCTGGTGTTCAGGAGGCCTCTTCTCCAACCATCTGTTGCCATTCAGGCCTGATATTGCTCAGTTTCTGAGATCTGGAATATTCAAGAGGTTATATTTAAAAAACAAAAAAACCCAAACCTTTTGTATTTAAATCTACAAACCACACAGAGGTTTTGCTTTGGTTCTTGTGTGAGGCAGGGGTTGAATTTTACTAATGCAGATACCCATTTAGCTCAGCACCATTTACTGATAAGATTATCTTTTCTGAACCTCTCTGAGATACTGTATTTGTCATAAGTAAAGCACTTACAATGCACAAGTCTGTTTCTGGGCTCTAGCGTTCTCTGTTGCTTTCTTTGTTGTACCGATGCCACGCTATCTTAATTACTGTGGCTATATGGTATATATTTATATATGGTTGAATTAATCCTACAACTTTGTTCTGTTTTAAGGTGAGTTTGGATATTTTGGACCAGCAAGATGGACCAGTGAGTAAAGGTACTTGCTGCCAAGCCTGAGGACCTGAGTTTGATTCCCCAGGAACCATACAGTGGAAGGAGAGAATTGATTCCCACAAACTGTCCTCTGACCTCCACATGGACACTGTGATACATGATGTCCACACACAATAAAATATGAAAAAGGTCTAGCATCTTCCTATTTGAGTGTGATTTTATACCACCCAGCAGTGGCTGACATCATGGCATCTTTCCTGCATATCTTTCTCTAAAATGCCTGAAGTGTGGTCCTCATAACCACACTAAGTACTGCCTGTGTCTGGTCCACCCACAGTTCTTCTCAGCCTTCCTTCTTTAACTCCAGATGTCACTTTCTGTGTACGGCAAGTGTTTCTCACTAATAATCTCTATTATGTCAATGGATAAAGTATATATAATTTTAATATTTCTTTAGGTACTGTGCTAAGTTCTTTGCATGCACTGCCTTACTTAATACTGCCAGTACACTAAGAGGTAGGTGCCTTTTATTCCCCTTAAAGATTGTTACATTTTGGCATAGGACTCAGAGTATCAAAACTGGGTCTGACCTGAAAGCCTCTTCCCTAAAGACTGGTTATCATGGTACCAGACAATGATATGCAAGCTTCCAAGAGAGGAAAGCAACCAAGACTTTTATCCAGCTATGATTCCTATGAACTACAACAACCAGCCTGGAAGGGTAATTCTAAGGGTGCAATAGTGGCACACATACTGTGTTGGTAACCAACAGTTCTCTAACTCTACTTGAGACACTTAACAAGAGGGGATCCCTAGAGAGGGAAGTGCTTTTCCCTCCTCCACTGGTGAATATCAGAGAAAAGATAATAACTGACATGTCTTAAAGTCCATGCTTCTCTTGCACACATTTCAGCTATAGCACCTAGTAAACGCTAGTCCTCCTATTGCTAAATATGTTTCCTTCCTGTTTCCATTTAACTTTCTTCACAGACTCGTCTATGATGCTAGCTGCTTCTACTTCCCCTTCTCCTCCCCTCCCTGCTCCAACCCAGTCTTACTTCCTCACCGAAATGGCTCTCTACAAACCACCTATCCACTTGCACCTTGCCATTTCTGATAGCTTGACTCATAAATGTCATCTAAAGACTTGTATGCTAAAGGGTTGGTAGCCAGCTTGTGGCACCATTGGAAGGTGCTGGAATCTTTAGGAGATAGAGGTTTAATAGAAGAAAATTAGGTCATGATCTTGAAGAAAGAATTGGGGCCCCTGCCCCATTTTCGTGCTTTTAAACTGCCCTAAGGTGAGCAGTTCCCTCTACTATGACTATGCACTGACAGCCAGGATGTACTGGATAAAGTGATGAGGCTGTGTAACCGCACACTGCGACCTCTGCAACTATGAATCAAAACAAATACATAACTTGATAATCTCAGTTTTGTGTCACAGCACCAATAAGCTAATATAAAATATAACACACCTATTAGTTTGCCTGTTTCTCTTCTCTGGCATCTCAGGTAGCTTCTAACCCACCTGTTTCTAAATGGAAACAGGAAGGAAACATATTTAGCAATAGGAGGGGGGGTTCCCATGTTTCTAGTCACTCCTTCTTTTGTGTCTGTCCTTACACTCCTTTGAATTTTCTTCTCTGTCCCTGACGACTCTGTTTTGATTGCTCTCTGCAGGCTTCACCCCTTCTATCTGAACAGGAGGTGTGTTACAACCTAACGGTTTTCTCCTTGACCTGTATTTCCCTCTGCCCACACATCCTGAAGTGATGACTCAATCACATGACCTTGTGTCTCATGTTTCTGAAGTTTCCCAAATTCATAGTTCTGAATGTGACTTCTCCCCTCAGCTGCAGACTTCTAGCTTCCTCCTTGACCCTTCTTTTTGGATTCTTTCTTTTTGAATTCTCTACAAAACAGAGTCTGAGCTGTGGGTTGAAACACTGATAGTATAGAAGAATTAAGTCCAAAGTATTAAGGACAGGAAGTGAGGGAGAAGGCATTAAGCTATGTCACCATCCAGCTGACCCTTCACCATCGTCACCTACATCACCTTCCAGCTACTAAGAGACTCAGAAGGTCATCAAAAAGTTTGGAGGTTTTGTTTGTTTGTTTGTTTTTGGGGGGGTTGTTTGTTTGTTTTTTGTTTTTTGAGACATTAGACCTTCAATGGTCCTTGGGAGAGGGGAAGTAAAGAACTTACATGTCTGGCTCTCCTTCAGCTCTTGTTTTCCTTGTTCAGGACTCATACTGGGAATTAACTTTATACTTCCTATATGTATAACCAACCCTGTGCCACCTCTCAGGGAGCCACCTTGTGGCAATGTTTCATTGAAATCTGAAAATGGAAGAGTAGCCTGGAGCTGCTATAGCAGTGGCCTAGCGAGATAGTGAAAATAGAGCTGGCTGACGTCTGTGCCACCACCCCGCACCCCGCCGTGAAGGTGTCCCTTTGTCTGTGAAAATGAGTATGGCAACCAACATGATCTGCCCCACCATTGCCACCAAAGACTGCCTCATCTAAGGAAATGGCACCATTGTTGCCAGTGCCAAGAAAACCACTGTGATAGCCTGTAAACTGGTCCCCTGGCTCCCAAGCTTGGCTTCCTTTGATGTATTCTTCATGCAACAGGGGAAGTGTAAAAATGGTCTTTTCATAACTCTGTGGCTTTGTTGTCTACTAAGGCTTTCCCTGACTTCTCCATCAAAAGTCAGCCCTCCTCTGACACTCTCCCTACCCCCTTTTCTTTCTTGTTTTGGCTATGTTGATTGAGAACACCCACACTCAGGCCAAAGCAGGTAGGTAGGAGACACCTTCTCCAAGTCTTCGTGATCCTCAGCAGGAAGGATTATTCTGCAGTTGAATCTGGCTCCAGCACAGACACACGTTGTAACATATGAAAAAAACAAAAACAAAAACAAAAACAAAACAAAAGTGTGTTTCCTGAGTCTATGCTGAACTAAAAGCTGCTTCTAAGAGGAAAAAATCAACCTGGCTTCAATGTTTGTCCCTGGAATTTTTGTTCCCTGGGAACTGTACAAGACACAAGAGAGAACCTGCAAAGCTGTCCTCGGCTCCTTTCATGACTGACCATTGTCTTGTGTCTGCTTCCACTCCACCACAACTCCAGACTCTGCCCTCTCTCCTCCGTAGCCCTTTGCTAACCTCAAAGCCATCTCTTTCTAATACTTTAGATATTTTTGTTTTATTGGACACATGTTTATATAGTGGATACTAGTTCCCAGGTGTGGTGTAGTGGTGGGTGTGGGGGTGTGGGGGTGGGGGGGGGGGGGTGTGGGGGCTGCGTGG